CCTTGCTACCTCCAACCCAGGCAACCCCTGATCTGTTTTCTGTCAGTTTAGATTAGTCACCCAGACTGGAGTTCAGTGGCGCAATCTTGGCTCACTGCAACCTCCGCCTCTTGAGTTCAAATGGTTCTCTTGCCTTAGTCTCCTAAGTAGCTGGGATTACAGGTGCATGCCACCACGTGCAGTTAATTTTCATATTTTTAGTAGAGACGGGATTTCACCCTGTTGGCCAGGATGGTCTCGATCTCCTGACCTCATGATCTGCCTGCCTTGGTCTCTAAAAGTGCTGGGATTACAGGCATAGTACATTTTTTATAATTTTTTATCAATAAAGTCACAGAATATGTACTCTTCTATTTGTTTGTTTTTGTCTGGCTTCTTTCAAGCTAGATAGTTATTTTGAAATTTGTGTTATTACATGAATCAGTAGTTCATTTTTATTGTGGGAGCTGTTAGATTTCATCATTGTAACCATGGCTTGTTTATCCAGTCATCTTTTGATGAGCACTTGGGTTGCTTTTAGTTATGACAAATAAAACTGCTGTGGACATTTATGTTTAAGTCTTCATATGAGAACATGCTTTCATTTCTCTTGGGTAAATACTTACAACTTGAGTGTCTGGAACAGAGAGTAGGTGCAGGTTAACTTTTAAGAAGCTGCCAAACTCTTTTGCAAAGTGGTTTCACCATTTTTCATTTCCATCACCAGTGTATGAAGTTTTCAGTGGCACCAAATCTTCCTTAACACTTGCTATGGCTAGTATTTTTCATTTTAGCCATTCTAATAGGTATGTGGTAGTATCTCATTGTGGTTTTAGCTATTTTCCTAATGACTAATGATGAACATCTTTTCATATAGCTGTTTGCCGTAATAGGTCTTCTTTGGTGAAATGTGTAATCGAACCTTTTGTCTATTTTTAAAATTGAGTTGTTTACTATTTGTAGTTTCATGTTTTCTGCATAAAAGTTCTTTGGTAGATAGATGATTTGCAAATATGTCTTTCCCAATTTGTGGTTTATCACTCATTGTTTTAGCAATGTCTTTCAAAAAGAAAAGTTTTTAGTTTTGATAAAGTCCAATTAATATTTTTTTCTTTTATGGATCATATTTTCAGTCTTATAAATTGTATCTAAGAAGCATTTTCCAACTCAAGGACACGAATACTTTTACCTTTGGTTTCTTATAAAAGTGTTATAGTTTCAAGTTTTACATTTGTCTGTGCTCTATTTTGAGTTAGTTTTGGATATTGTTTGTACTGTGGATCAAAGGTTTTTGTTTTGTTTTGTTTTGTTTTCCCCCCGCATATAGATACCCATTTTGTTCCAGCACCATTTATTTAAAAGACTATCCTTTAAATTGTATTTTACTAAAAATCCTCCATATATGTGTGGTTTTATTTCTGGGCTATTTTTTTCCACTGATCCGTTTATTTTTATGCTACACTAAACTGTTTTCATTACTGTCATGAGCTTCAGTCAGTGGTATAGCTCTCCATTACTTTTTTAACATTTGTTTGGCTATTCTAAGATCTTTGCATTTCCATATGAATTTTAGATCATCTACATTTCTACAAAAAACGCCTGCTGGAATTTCGATTGAGATTTTGCAAATTATGTGGACCAATTTAAGGATAATTGACATCTTAATATTTAGTTTTCTTAGGAAAATGGCATGTCTCTCCAGTTATGTCCTCTTTAGTTCTCAGAATGTTTTGTAGTCTTCAGTGTTCAGGTCCTATGCATCTTTTGTCAGATTTATCCTTAAGCATCTTACGGTGTTTTTTTAAAAAAATGCCATCGTAAATGAAAAGTGAAATTTTAAAAATATGAATTTGTTTGTTGTTAATATATGTAACTATACGATTGACTTTCCTACATCAATCTGGTATCTTATAATCTTGCTACTAAACTCACTTATGCTATTATCATTTTTGTAGATTCTTCAGATTTTTTTTACATAGATGATCGTGTCATCTGTGAATAAAGACAGATTTACTTCTTTCTTTCCAATGTAAATGTTTTTGATGTATTGCCTGATTGTATTGGCTAGGATCTTCAGCAGAGTGTTAAATAGAAGCAATGAGAGCCAATGTCTGTGTCTGTTTTCTTTTTTTTTTTTTTTTTTTGAGACAGAGTCTCGCTCTGTCGCCCAGGCTGGAGTGCAGTGGCGCGATCTCAGCTCACTGCAAGCTCCGCCTCCCGGGTTCCCGCCATTCTCCTGCCTCAGCCTCCCGAGTAGCTGGGACTACAGGCGCCCACAACCGCGCCCGGCTAATTTTTTGTATTTTTAGTAGAGACGGGGTTTCACCGTGGTCTCGATCTCCTGACCTTGTGATCCGCCCGCCTCGGCCTCCCAAAGTGCTGGGATTACAGGCGTGAGCCACCGTGCCCGGCCCTGTTTTCTTATATCACAGGCAAAGCGTTCACCCTTTTACCATTCACTATGCTGTTTTTGTAGATGCCTTCAATCAGGTTGAGGATGTTTCTTTCTGTTTCTGATTTGATGAGAATTTTTATCAGGAGTGGATGTCAAATGCTTTTTTTTTTTCTATTGATATTATATACTTTTTCTATTTTAGTTAATCTAGTAAGTTATATTGATGCTTGAATTTGTACTGACTTTTTACTTCTGATATAAGCCCCACTTATTAATGGTGAAGTATGCTAATGATGAAGTTAGACTCAAGTTACTGAAATATTTAGACTTTTTATATCTGTGTTCATGTGTGATACTGGCTGTTAGTTTCTTAATTTGTAGTGTTGGATTTTGGTATCAGGGTAAAACTGCCCTAATAGGATGTGTTAGGATGTGTTCCCTCTTCTTCTGTTTTTTTGGAAGAGTTTGTGAAGAACTGATGTTTTCTTTAAATATTTGGTAGAGTTTAGCAGGAAAGTCTCCTGGTCCCAGACTTTTTCTTTGTGGGTAGTTTTTTATTTTTATTTTTAATTACTTTTCTAGCTATTTACTTTAACTTATTTGTATGCCCATGTTTAAGGTGCATTTCCCGTAGGAAGCATATACTTGAGTCTTTTGTGACACTCCCCCCTCCCTTTAAATATGAGGAAAAACTTGCCCGCAAGTCCATCAGATGATTTTCCCTCAGTTTCTTTTGGCTAGGATTGTATGTGGGGCTTGGGCCTAAACCAGTCATAGGCAAAGGGGAACAATGAAAATACCGTGATTGGCTTAGCCCGGTGCCTCTCAAGATGTGGTCTCCAGACCAGTAATACTAGCTTTACCTGGAAACTTCTTAGAAATTCAGATTCGTTGACCCTATGCATCAAATTTAAGGGATGTGGTTTAGCAATTTGTCTTAACAAGATGTTTGAGTAATTTTGAGACATGAGACATTGAGAATAACTGGCCTCGACTAGCCTATACTTGTGAGCAGGGAGGAGTAGCCTGTACCCAACAGTTTAGGGTATGTTCCTAGGAAGTGGAAGGGATTATTACCTACATAGGTAGGTGATAATCTTGCCATAGGACGACTGAGGTGGGGCCCAAGAATATGAATTTTTAACTGATATACTCTTGATGGAGTCACGACTGTGCAACACACTCTAAGGAAACAAAATAATATATTGGACTTATAGTTAAATCCATTGAGATCTATATTTTAGAGTCCTCATCTGTAACTGGAGTGAGCAAACTGTCCCAAGGGCAAATCAGAGCTGTTGCATGTTTTGTATGGTGGGTAAGATTCGTTTTTACATTTTTAAATGATGAAAAAAAATAAAAAGAATGGAAAACTATGGGAAATCCAACTCTCAGTGTCTATAAATCAATTTTAAAGGAACATAGCCATGTTTATTCACTTACATATTGTCTAGGATGCCTTTGGACTGGAATGGCAGCGCTGAGTAGTTGTGACAGAGATCATGTGGCTTACAAAGCCTGAAATATTTACTTGCTGGCCCTTTACAGAAAACGTTTGGCAATCCCTGATCTGTAAGAATAATTTACCAAAGAATAGTACATTCCCCAACTGTCTTGGATAACTGATAAATTAATAGGTGAACGTTTTGTCTAGAACAGTAAAAGTGTGAATGATGAAGTATGTTATTTCAAGAATATGTGCATATTAGAATTGTGGTAGCTTTGTTGGAAGGAAGATTACTTTAGATTTATAATTAATGTAAGCTTATAATAGTGAGATGTCATGTATTAGAGCCAGCAGTTTTGGGGAGGTAATTCACCCTTCCCCCTTTTTTAGTTAACTCTTACTTATTCCTCAAGATAAACCTTTTCGTATAGCCCTATCACTGAAAATATTCTAAAATCTACATTAATATGGCATATTAATGAGAGAAGCTTTTTTATAACCTGCAGTGCTTCTGGGTAGTTACTTTGCATACTACTCATTACTGTGTAATGGTGTAGGTGCTAAAAGTACTCTTCCTAAAACATACCTTTTTAAAGCTCTTTGGCTTTAATGAAAAAGAAGCATATACCAAGGTTAGTATAGATTTGAGACAGGAGAAATATGTGATTATGTAAGGGTTCAAAGAATCAATTGACTGGCTTTTATGGGTGTTTAGACTTATTTTTTAAAAATAGACAAGATTTGCCTTGTTTGTCACATCATGTTTACCTTCATTAGCCCAAGTTTACCAAAGATTCTGTTGCGAAAGAGAAAGATGAAAATGTTTATTTCTTGACATGTCAATAGAGATAGTAAGATCATGATAGTGCCTTTTTAGGGCTAGTTTAGTTAAAAAAAGAAAAGAAAAGAAAAGAAAAGCCCTTGATTTCTGATGCTGAAACACACAGTTAGGGGAAAAATTGTTAGACCTTTTTTTTGGAAGTTCTTCTCACCAGGCTACAGGAAGTGTCATCTTCTATTTGGGTATATTTGCCTGTTAAAAACTATTTCTGATACTTTGAAGTGATCAAATATGAGTTGTGTTTCTATGGAAATTGTTAAATACATGTTGCTTTCCCCAGAGAGAGGTACTCTCTGTGTACCTATATCATACCTATAATGTAGATTTCTTTTTTTAAGGTTATACGTTGGCTCTTCAAAGACGTTCACCTCATCAGAGAAATCCCTGACTCCTTTGCAATGGTGTAGACATGTCCTAGATAACCCAACTCCTGAGATGGAAGCAGCAAGACGTTCCCTGTGCTTTAGACTGGAGCAAGGTAATTGTGAATGTGTGCATTTACATTCTCCAACTCTTGTCACTCTCAGTGCTACTTTTGTTGCTGGTTTTGGAATAAACATTTCAATTGAAAATTTTTACCCTGAGGTGCAGCTGTTGCATGCAATTAGCTTCACATGTATTACACATCAAGCTTTCTCAGTGTAGGATGTGTTTAGTTTTGTGCTTGTTTTTAGCCATATTTTTAGTTTGCTTTGGTTTATATTGCAGTGTAGGAACACGCATTTTATTTTATTTTATTTTTCTGTTTGCAAATATACCAGTCAATAAAATGGTCAGTTTTCAGTGCTCTGGGGTCAGTAAAAAGGTTGTGTGGCTGGCTTCTAAGGCAGAAAACAGGGTTTCCTGGGGATCTGAGTACTGACCTTATTGAATGCCTTTAACATTTAGTTGGATATATAACTGGAAGTGCTAACCTTTAAAAACTAAGAAATCTTCATATTATCTGTAACATTAATTAACTTATGGAGCCTAACAGAAGTTTAAATTTAAAGAAAGGGCTGTTGGAAAAACAACAAAAATGAGTGAGTGGTACCTTGCTGTTTGATGCAGGGAACTACTTGAAGCTGTAATTATGTAGGCTTTTGACTTGTCTGTTAACCTCTGGGCATCTGTTTCATCCTCTGGGAACACTGTTTCTATTCCATGGACCACCTGCCTCCAAATCATACATGAGCTTGAAAGTACAGATTCCGGAGCCTCCAGATTAAAGAATCATACTGTCTGAGGGTAGGGTTGGGGAGTCTGCATTGACAAGTTCACCAGTGTGATTCTCATGTACACTGATATTTGAGTACACTGCCCATGAAGCTCTTCGAGGATAACGAATAACATATTTGGACATAAGAAAAAGTATAATAGATAATGCTTCTAGAGCTCTTAATTCTGTAACATTCATTACCTTCACATTCTTGACATCCTTCATCTTATTCAGTCTAACTGAACTCACCTTTAGAGGTGAGAAATACTCAGTTTAGAGAAGTTCCCAGTGTTACAAGGCAGAATGATACTCGCGGACGGAGTCAAAGCCAGGGTCTCTCTGACACCAGAGACTCCATACTGATCTAGTATTCTGTACTGCCGTATTGGCATGGTCATAAGTAAATATCAACAGAAATCTGCTTTAAATACTTGGAAGGTGGGATGAAATAGTGTATCTTATTAACATTTTAACTAAAATGAAACGGGTGGCTTAATAATGGAAAGTTGAAGAGCAGTGTAGGGACAAAGGCATGTTAGGGTTAAAACTTTGGTGATAGATGCTTATCTAACAGAGCAGCCATCTCAGAGTTGGGGGCTCTAGTATTCATCTGTTCCCATTTACCTCAGTGACTCTAAGAAAACGGATACGGTTTGGCTGTGTGTTCCCAGCCAAATCTCATCTCCATTTGTAATCCTTACATGTAGAGGGAGGCACCTGGTGGAAGGTGACTGGATCATGGGGGCACTTTCCCCCATGCTGTTCTCGAGATAGGGAGTTCTCATGAGAGCTGATGGTATTAAGTGTGGCACTTCCTCACTCTTTCACTTTCTCCCTCTCCTGCCACCATATAAGGACGTGCCTTGCTTCCCCTTTACCTTCCACCATAATTGCAACTTTCCTGAGGCCTCCCCAGCCATGTGGAACTGGGAATCAATTAAGCCTCCTTTCTTTATAAATTACCCAGTCTCAGGTAGTATCTTTATAGCAGTGTGAGAACAGACTAATACACAAACCATTAAATCCCTTTGTACTTAACTCTTTGAAGGGTTATATAGACCATTCCTAAGTCTCCTTACTTAATCCTTGACTCAGTGACTTATATCTATATTTTAATATAAGAATTTGGCTCAATAATTTGAAGTAAAATTCAAAATGAATTCAGAATTACAGTCCTTTATGTCAGGGGTCAACAAACGTTTTTTGAAAGAAGACAGTTAATATTTTAGATTTTGTGAGCTACATAATCTCTGTCATGACTGTTCAACTTAGCTATGCCCAGAAAACAATGATCAATGCAGAAATTAATGAATGAAGATGTGTTCCAATATAACTTTATTTACAAGCACTGACATTTGAATTTTGTGTGGTTTTTCACATGTCACAAAATGTATATATTTTTCCCAATTATTAAAAAAAAATAAAAACCTTTCTTAGTTGGTGAATTATTACAAAAGCAAGAGTGGGCTGGATTTGGGGTACCTTTGGCCTTACCCACCCTGGCCTTACGTCATTTGCACACTAGATAGATTTACATATAAGGTTAGATTTTTTTTTTTCTAAAAATAGAAGAGAACCTTAAGTATAAATAATCCTAATTGGTGGTTGCTGTTGAGATATTAGACTAAGTGCTTCATTATCCGATTTTCCTTTCATTGATGTGGAGCTCAGGCAGAATCGTGAACTGTCATACTGCAGTTTTGTTCATGATGTAATTTATTTAAACGTCCTGTAAAAGTTTAGAGAACGACTTTTTCAAAATCAAAATTAGTCTTTTACTTAATTTGTATATAAACTCAAAACTTCTTTTGCTGTGAGACTAAATGTTTTTAGTCCAGAGATCCATAATCCACAATCCTGTTGAGATGAGAGGTAACCAATTAGGTTGTTTACTGGAGAAAATTCTCTTTTTTAAAAAATTCAACTTGTATTTTATAAAATATGTCTATAGTTTAAAAAATAGTCTTACAACTGTTATAAGACAAATATCGAATTGCTGCCCTAATCTCTCATGCCCCTTTTATTTCCCGGATGTACTTTAGAAAAGCTCTTTGTTTTGGTTTTACTGTTTACTTCTCTTTTTAAATTCCATGTTTATATGGCTATTGCTTTGAATTTTTCATTTTAAACATTATCCATTGGCTTTTGACTTTGGATGGTGAAGATTTAATTCCTTTACGCCTCACTCCTATATTTTTTCTCTGCATGTCCTTTTTATGTTACCTTTTACCAACTTTAGGGGACGTCAGTATTTATTATGATAGAAAGTTATATTCAAGCCATGCAATATTTTATCATTTCTTTTTCCATCTAACTTTTTTGTTTTTAAGACAGAGTCTTGCTCTGTGCTCAGGCTGGAATGCAGTGGCGCAATTTCAGCACACTGCAACATCTGCCTCCTGGGTTCAAGGGGTTCTCGGCCTCAACCTCCTGAGTAGCTGGGATTACAGGTACACACAACCATGCCTGGCTAATTTTTGTATTTTTAATAGAGATGTGATTTCACCATGTTGGCCAGGCTGGTCTTGAATGCCTGATCTCAGGTAATCCACCCACCTCGGCCTCCCAAATTGCTGAGATTACAGGCGTGAGCCACTGTGCCCAGCCCATCTAACATTTTTTTTTAAGAATTCATTGGAAAAAGATGCTTAGTTTTGTTGTTGTTGTTGTTGTTGTTGTTGCTGTTATAATTTATAAGACAAGGTCCTTGTCATTAATTTATCCCCAAATTCTCCTCATGAACCATCCGCAGTATGAGACACATAAATCCAAGAATTTTGTTTTGTTACTGTTCCTTCAGGCAGCGCCCTGTTCTCTTACTCTAATTAGAACTAGTCATGTTTAGCCTCTGAAGAGCCATCATAGTGGGACTTTATTTTCCTTATTCTGGGAATTCCTCTGGCCCCTCTTCAGTGCTATATTACCTGCTTCTGAGATACAAATACTTTCCTTTCTATTCCATTAAAAGAAAGGAATATTTCTGCATTTGCTTTTTTGGGAGAGTAGAGGGAAAAAGGATATGTGGGAGGTAAATTCTGAGAACCTCCTGTGTTTGAAAATGTCTTTATTCCTACTTTCACCCTTATGCAGGATTGTTCTTTGGGCTAGGTATAGAATTCTAGGTTTAAAACCATTTCCCACAGAGTTTAGAAGGCATTATTCCATTATATTTTAGCTTCGGGGTTGCTTTTGAAGTCCGGCACCGTTCTCATTTCTGATTCTATTTGTGACCTTTCTACCTAAAATAACATGAATATTTTAGAATATTGTCTTTTATTCTTGGTATTCTGAAATTTTGTTTATTTTGTGTGTGCTAGAAACTTTAGTTCTGCAAAATTTCTTGCATTATTTCTTTGTATTCATACCCCTCCGCCCTTGTTTTCTCTATTCTTTCTAGATACTCCTGTGGATCAGAGTTGCCTGGATTGATGTTCAAATTTTATATTTTTCTCTCTCGCTTTCTATTCTTGATCTTGTTGTGGTTGCTGTTGCTCTACTTTCTTGGAGATTAAAAAAAAACACACACACACAACTTCTAAACTCTTCTGCTGCATATTGAGTGACTTCTATGTACCAGGTACCATTGTAGGTGACGGAGATGCATCAGTGAACAGCACAGATATTAAGTCTCTGCCCTCATTAAGCTCACCTTCTAGTATTCAGATTTTCACTTAGTCCTCCAGATCTGTAAGGTACTTTTATTTGTGTTTGTATCCTTAAATCTAGTGGCTTTCTGTTTCAGTTTATTCAGGTAATGAAGCCTGTCTTTGATAAAAGTAGGAGAGGAGCAGTTGCCTGAGCAGGCAGGATGGGGAGCTGGAGGGTTTTAGTGCTTTCCTACAGATTTTCAGTTATCTGGTTTTTTTCACTTCACCACAGAACTCCCTACCCGCTGTGGTACTTTGCACCTGTGATTCCAGAACCTTGCCAGGTCCTTATTAGTTTCTTTTTGCTGTAAGGCCATAGAGTGGTGGATGTCAAAACCCAAGTCTGTTTCCGCTGTTCATTTCTAAGATGTTGTGACCATCCCCAGTGTGATAATTGTCTCCTGTCCCATTCAGTCTTCCTATGGGCTTACACAGTTTGAGTTTAACTCTTCCTGTAGTGTGGTTTTATAAGAGAATAGGGAGGAATTCATAGTTAATCCCCCATATTGAAGAAGACTTATTGGCTTCCAACTAAGGGGGTCCTTTGTCAATGATGGTTAATTGACATATACCAAAAATTATGGTTTTGACCCACACTTTATTCATAACATAGTATAAAGATTTAATTGGAAT